TTCTGACCCAGGAAAGCCTCTTCTTCTCTCAGTGTTCCCGACACCGCTCATCCTCTGCAAGGTTCCCAAAGTACGCTAGGCATATTCTGTCTTTGTTCATACCAAAATCTGTTGATACACCTATATCTATTTCACTCTGTGAACCCACTGAAGCAGGGAATATTTAATTAATCTTTATATGTTAAATAAGGGCTACTTATAAGAGTTCTCAGAGGATATTACAAGCTCAATAAATATTTGTTTGACTGAATAAAAATAGGAATTAATGACTGAATGGTTTCCATCATGTTGGTAGTATTATCAAGTTGCAGAATGTGTGTGCTGGAACTTGGTGTACTGGTTCTATATGAATTCACATCATAGTAGTATATCCTAAAGAATTATGAAGTTCATACTTAATCTGCACTGCTAATCCAAAAATCAGCCTATATTTGAAAATTAATTCTGGTACACCCTATATGTCTTAGAAACATTATTGTGCCTCCTGGTAAAACTTCCAATTATGTGTTCATAAATTTGTTTTTAACCTGTCAAGCATACATTGCTCCTCCTGCAACATACCTATTCTATTCTTAGTGAAATCTCTGGATTCCAAATCACAACAGCATGCTTTATTTCAGCAATAATTTAGCAGAGACAAATCCAGTGCTGCGTGTAAAGATGCTCATTATCTTCTGCACCTCTGTCTCTAACTCACCTAACCCTTTTTCCAACATCTATAACAAAAGGATCTCCCTTCTCCCCCATATGTTTTGCTCAACAAGCTGCTATGGAAAGAGCAGTGAACTGAGAGCTGCTAGTCGTAGGACTTGGTCCCAGGATTATTAATTTCTTGAGTTAATTAGACTTTAAATTCATACCTTAACTGCCTTGGTTCTCTGTTTCCTATATATAAAATGAGGGGGTTGCAGGGATGATATTTATAAAAAATAGCTGAAACTTCTATTTAATAAGCTTTTACTATATGCAAAGAAATGTGTGTTGTGCTTTATATATATTATCTCATTTAATTTTAATCCTCCAAACAGGTTTATAAAGTATATAAGCAGGAAACGATGGTACATGTCAACTCGGGTAATATGAGGAATACTTCATCAAGGAATTATATTAAAAAGGTGTGAGCAGGGTGTTAGGAAACCACAAGAGAGGGTGCAATGCCCCAAGGCTAGTTATGGATAGGGAAGTGGTTACCTGAACGCAAAGAGAGAGAGAGCACTGTGAAGAGGTTGCTTGAGCTGTGGCTGGAATGCAGCTAGCCCACAGAAAGCCTGGCAATCCGTATTTAGACTTCACTTGAACCATTCTGGGCAAACCCATCAGGAAGGATAGGCCAAGGTAACATTCTGAAACCATTCATACTAGGCTTTAGGACCACAGAGCAGGATGGAGAAAGTGAAGAGTGGATCTAGAGGGGCCAACAGAAGATACTCAGTGATATTAAGCATGGTTGTCCTGATTTTATACATGAGATTATTGGAGTTCAAAGAGGTTAAGTGACTTACTTAAGATTACACAGTTAGTACAGGATGAAGCCAAGATTCAACCCATCCCATCAACTTCAGAGCCAGGGCTTCTGATCGCTTCTCAGCCCAGAAGTCCCTTTTTGTCCTGGCAGGGTTAGAAACGCCTCATAAGCAAACTAATTCAGTCGTCTCCCTTACATGTTCTTGAAAGAGCTGTCTTTCTATTTTGGACATGAGCCTTACTGAGACCTCAATTACCATTGCAAAGCTGGTGGTCTGTGTGGTCCATCTTCCTGTTTCTGTATGTATGGTTTATATCCTGACATGTAATATTGATTTATAACCCTGAGTGAGACATTGATAAGGACAAAGTTGTTAGACAGTCAAAAGGAGAGAAGAGCGTTTTTTTTAATTACTAAAAAAATATCTTTCTTCTGACATACTCTCTAAATTAAGCACAATTAAAGGATTTTTCCTTTCCCAAAGAATAATGGAGTGTGTAGTGAGGGGAGTGCACTGATGATTGGATTTTCCTATTTCATGTGCTGGAATTAGAACACAGCACAAGACTGCACTAAATGCGTTCCAGTAGAATGTGGAAGAAGTGAGTGGAATGCAAGATGTTTAAATGAGGTGACACCAGAAATTAGTATTAAACATATTTTTCAAAAACCTATGAGGGCCCTTCAGATAAGAAAAGGAAAGGAAATTTTCATGGAGTGAGTAGTCAGAGGTTGTTAATTACTCTTTGTGTGAGAATGAAATTTGCTTAAGAGGGAAGACTAGCAATTATCTGAGGTCAAGGGGCCTATCCCCAATCTGTCTGCTCCTCTGTCAAATAGAGATTAAAGTCCCACTCAAGACTCTTAGTAATAGGGAACTCTTCCCATACCAGCACTTCCTGACCTACAAATAGTTTGTGGTCCCAGAAAGTCAATAATTCAGTTGTTGGGAATATGAAACAAATCTTCCAGGAGCCAAGCTGTTATAAACTGTGACTCAGTGCTGGACCTGCCCTCAATGCCCATTTAAATCCAGAATCTAATTCAACTAGAGTTACAAATGTACTTCTTGGTATAAAGCAAAAAGGGAAAAAGACAATCCTGTGAACCTGGTCTGGCTTTATCCCAGGGCAGGTCCCACACCTGGCCTATTTCCCCTGCCTCTCTGAGGTTGCAGCTCTAGCACCTTCAGGCCCAAGGCAGGAATGGACCTGGAGTTTCAGGGAAGCTGGAGTGGTGGCTTGGTCAGCCATTGCTGTTCCTAACAGGACTTGAGGAAGCATTGTGGGTGAATAATGAGTGTTTGAGCCCAGACGTCCCTCGCCTTGAACTGGAATGCCTTTTTTGTTTGTTTTTTTATACCACAGTAGGCAATTTATCCCTTATTCCACCTTTTAAATAGAATCGTTACATATTTGTTTTGATTGTTTGACAGACTTCCCAATTTTAGCAGACTGCTCATGAGTGATGGGGTGTTATGAGTTAAGAAAAAGGACATTTTGATTACCTTTTAAATGGCCATCAACATGGCCTGAGAAATCACTCTCGGGAGAAAAAGTTCAGGGCTAGTTACAATTAACTAGCTGGTTAATTGCAAGAAATCTCCAAAAACCTGGGTATAAAACATCTTTTCCAAGAAAAGTGTTTTTCCTGCCATTGAACCCTAGCTGAACAGATTTTTGGATAGCTTGATAATCAGCAGCAGCTTCACTGGGTCTTGATAATAAGTGAAAATAGGATTAGGCAAAGTGAGGGGAAAGAAATCCCAGTGACTGTTGGTGAACCAATGCTAAGAAATCCCGCTCTTCAAATCAGCCTGTGTGTGTCAAAGTCAACTTTTACTTTATCAAATATTGGCAAGTAAAGGGGGCGCTCATATTTAGGCCCTCCAAAGACAAAGAAGGGTGAACTTATCTCAGATTTCAAACTAGTTTTGATTTAGTAATTGTTCTGGTCATTTCCCCAGACTGGGGAACTGAAAATAGTGGTAAGGTAACATATAATAAATACACTTGCCTTTTAGAAAGGTGGAAGAGGACATAGGTCAGAGACCAGGAAGGAAATATAAGACAGGGACGGAAAAAAGGAAAGGAGATAGGAAAGGAGAGAGAGAGAACTGTGCCAGTTGACTTCATTTTCACAGGAACCCACCCACTCTGAGCTTCTGTTGTTGCTTTGTTTATGCAAAGTTAGCCGGCTGAGACACAGTGAAGAGCTGAGAGCGCCACGTTGAAGGAGGCAAAAATAATCTTTAAAATTTAAATGACAGTAAAGCAGCTTGCTCGCGCGCGCGCGCACACACGCACACGCACACGCACACGCACACACAGGTTTAGGTCGGGGCAATCCCTGCTTGCAGGTTTTGAAATGAAAACAAGCCAAGGAAAGGCGGGTGGGAGGCTCAGCAGCAGCGGGGAGCGTTGTCGGTGACCGAAGGAGCTCTGGTGAATATCAGGTTCGGATTAGTGACAACTCAGAAGTCACGCTGGCGGTTGGGGGAGGAGGTTTGCCAAGGTCTCTGAACTCGACGGAGGAGAGAGCAGCTTCCCCTGGCGCCGGGCGAGCGGGGCGCGCCGGAGAGACCTCTGTCCTGGAGCAAGCCCTACCCCTCACACCCCGCCCAGAGACTGAGTTTGTCAGCGATCATAAAATGCGAATTGATTATTCCAGCCACCATTGATTAGGGAAGAATGCTTACTGCAGCAGCCGGGGGAAAGGTTAAAAGGAAATTGACCTTCTTCCTAGGTGACATAAAGTCATTAGGTAAATGAGATACTCACACAGGAGTTTTAAAAGGTCATACTCAATTTTTATTTGTAGCCTGAAGAGTCAGCCTGGAGCTCGGCTTAGGGCAGGGACCCGCTCTTGTGGACAAGTGGACCGTCTGGAAGAGAACTCTGGCGCGGCGCTGGACAGGGGCAAGGGTCGAGAGTGGGTTATTGTCTTGGAAGGATCTTGTTGAAATTGGCGGGGGTCTTGGAACCCTAGGTTTACCTCCTGCCTGACCTGTATTTGCGATTCTGTGTGTGCGCGTGCGCGCACGTGCGAGTGCCTCTTGGGGTCTGTGCTTCGCCCCCAGGGTCTCCTCGGTGGCATTCACCCGCCCAGCAAAGGGATGTCGGGCAAAGGCAGACGATTAAAATCCCTTATCCTACCAGAGCTGGCCACGTCTCACACAGAGTGAAAAGTGTGTGGGTTTTTTTTTTTTTGAGGAGAGAATGAGAGATGTATTTATGCACATATTTATCCCTCTAATTATAGGCATTAATCCTCTTACTTATGACTAAAAGGTAACGTGGAAGGACGTCCCTTTGATGTGGAAAAGCATCATTTGTGACTCACATTCAGACTGATTAAGGAATAATTGTTGTTAAACGCTTTACAAGAGGAGAGTGTTTAATTGAGGGGCATTCGTAATTTTACGGCTTAGCACAAAATTAAACGTAATTAAAAACTCAGAAATTCCAACTGATTTTCCAATTATTTTTATTGTCTGTGCTAATTGTTACACGAGGGTATCACTTCTCCCCAAAGGCATAAAAAAAAAAAAGGCAACTATACCTTTTCCAAATATTCGCCGAGAGGATTCGATTCAGCACTTTCCCCAGGTATAGGCAGGTAAAGGACTTGCCTCACTCCCGCCTCCCTCCCCCACTGTAATTAAGTGTTTCAGCCACTCTCCCCTTTCTCTGAGTTCCTGCAACACCTTGGGATGTGAGAAAGTGATGGCAGTTCTCTTCTGCAGATCATTACAGCAAAACTGGAAGTATATGTAGAAGGCTGATGAATTTCTTGAAGTAACACTTGTCATACATGGCGGAAAGATTAAAAAAAACACCTACGTAAACACAGCTCTTTGGGGGCGATCCCTCGATGCCTCTGCCTTGGAGTGTGTGGCAGGAGGGAAGTAACACGCAAACACCGACTGGGAGATGTTTATAAACGTGCACACCAAGACACACAGATGCACACAGGAAACTTTCTTTTGCTTTCCTTTTTTCTTTATTTTCTCTTTTGCAATAAAGGTGGGTATGGAGAGCTCCCCAATTGGATTCTGTTGGGTTTTTTTTCCTAATGTTGGGTTGACAGCATAAAGCCAAACTATTTGTATGTATAGCTTCTCTTAATGTATGTGCAAATAGATTTATTTAAATACAATAAAAGGTTTACAAAAAGTGGTTCAGTCTTATGGAAACAAAAACACATCCTTACAGTTAGTCCAGAAGTGGCCCTGGCTTTGCTGTAGAGCTAGTCCAGAAGTGACCCTGTTTTTCCTATCAGACATGGAGGGAATCCTAGAAAAAAATAATAAACATAAAATTATGCAGAATGTGAGTTTATAAATTTCAATTAGTCTAAACAGAGTGTGGAGAGATGAAATAGTGTGTGTTTCAATAAGTGTCTTTAATTGTGATTTTTTTAGGATGGAGTCTTCAGTGGATTTAAGCTTTGTATCCGACTTTCCCATCCACCCTCCTCCCTTTCCTTAAAATACATGCCTCTGATCTCACATGCCAGGTGAAAATGGGTAAAATTAAAACTGTCAATTCTGCTTCCAACGTGTGTCTTTCTAGTGAGTTCAAAAGCTTTTAAAGGTAAAACATACCGATCATTTATATGTATTTTCTTTTCTATCACGGGTAAGTAAAAAGAAAAAAAAGTATTTCTATTTCCAAATCTACTTTTCCTGGAAGATTTCAATCTTCCAGGTAATTTGGTGATGGACACTGACACCAGAGAACGTCTGCCCGGCACAGCCTGATTTACACCAGTGCCGCCAAGGAAGTTCAGTGAAGTCCGGATTTTACGTTTTTCACTAAATGGTTTATTTGGATCTGAGACGTGGATATTTAAACCTGAAGCTTTCCAATTACTACAGTACTGTTTCAGAGCAAAGGTTGGAATAGTCAAAGTTGGAAGGAAAGGAGGAAGGCTCCCTTTGAAAAGTTAGAAATGGTGAAAATGACATGTAATCCGATGTGGAAAACTGAGTGAAAGAGGCAGTGAACACTTTAGCTTAGGCAAAGACTGCTGAATCCTTTGAAGAAATTGACACGGATTTTCCACAGATGGGAGGAAGGAGAGAGATGGGGTGGGGGTGGGAGAATCCAAGGGTGGGCATTTTATGTAAATGAATAAATTTGAAATGTAGTACAAATCCACTATAGTAAAACTGACAGTTCTGACAGTATTGACAACATAAATATATGTTTGAACACTGCACTTTCAGACACTTAACCGATGAAGCAATAAAAAAATTCGACTACAATATTTCAAATAATCGACATTGATGTTTTGATACATCATTTTTATACTCTGAATCGATCTATCACTGGGACTGGTCAATTTTAAGTAAAAATGCGCTGCAATTATTTGCACCTTGGCTAATGATGACCTAATAACAATCCTCAATTAATTACACCCGAACTGTGCCTTCTTCCTTCCGCGTTGGGGAGTAAGGGGAGGCAATTCTTGAAGAACAGTACCTACGATGTGTCATCGTCCCCCCTCCATTCTATTCCATATTTGAGATTATGGGATAGGGAGAGGATTTAAGAATTGGGGGAGGAGGGGTTGCAAAGACACTACAGGCTAAGGTCCCCTCACCTCGCATGGCCACTGACTGGGTCTGTATTGGGATATGATCCTGACTCTTTCTTTGCAAGGTCAAAACTAAATTTCAGAAAATGTAATCATCAAGTTGAGTGAGTCTAACCCTCCCCCAGGCCCCATATTCTGTCCTCTGTTTCAAGGACTAGATGTAGGAGATTTGCTTAAACGGAAGACTGGAGATATTTCCAAGGTTCAGTGTGTGTGTGTGTGTGTGTGTGTGTGTGTGTAGAGTGGTGTGTGTGTGTGTGTGTGTGTGTGTGTGAAGACAGGCAGAGAGAATAAGAATTTTAAAAGAATATCTAAAGCACTCAGAGTTGAAAGAATATCTAAAGCACTCAGAGTTGAATCTCCCCTTCCACCACTATCCCCTCTGACCGCTCTCCACGCACCCTCAGCGTCTGCAGGCTACTGTTTAAAAACAAACAAGCCACAAATAAGAGAGGACAAATCTCTTCGAGAAAAGAGGGAGGCCGCTGGCGGACTGCATCCTGAAGCGTGCGTTCCTGTCCTCCCGGGCTGCTGGCTTTCTCTTCTTGCCCTGAGGGCTCTGCAGCACGCTCTCGCACTCCCACTCCTCGCCAGATTTGGTGTGGTGGTGGAATATAGCTTTCATTAGAAAAAGAGATACTGGACAGGCCCAGGACGGAAACTCGAGCATTCCATTGTGATGTTACAGCAACTGGACGGGGAGGGGGCGGCTCGCGCCCGCACTCCAGCTCTCTCCCGAAGGTCGGGCGCTGCTGCTTGCTGTCCCCACCCCTTTCTCAAACTCGCCCTGAGACTCGGCCTCCGGACTTAAAACTTAGTTGGACTCTACCAGGATTTCTGTGTCTGATTTCTTTCCTCCACACTTCACAAATGTAGTTTTAAGCCCCTCCAAACCACCGCCAGTTGAGACGCTAGAACTTACGCAACACGTCAAGCAACACTAAGATGCTAATCAAAGGCAAAGGAGGTGTGCGGCCCCGGTGGGTGAAGGTGGGGGTCCTCGAAGAGCTCCGTTGCCTGAGCATCACCTAATTCCAAGGCTCTCATGGAATTGGCCATTCCCAGCTGTCTGCGCCTGGAAGCGGGGGTAGGAGGTACAAAAGAGGCAGCAGGAAGAAAGGGGATTAGGATCAAGATAGAGGGAAAGAGAAGAGAGTGGAAAGAAGAGAGGAAAGCAGAGCGCGGGAAGGAGGCAGAGACCGCGAGAGCTAGCGCAGGGCGTGTTTGGAGCCCCGCCAGATAGCGCTAGAGGGCTATTTATTGAAATACTCGCCTTCAGCGAGATGGGAAAGCAGCTAAAATTGGGAGAAATAAGCCATAAGAGAGTAAAAGGAAAGAAAGTATAGTGATTCCACCCCATATTATTTAAGAAAAAAACGTGGGGTGCCTTATTGATATTAATTGGGAGGAGAGAAAAATAAATGGTAGAAAGCCCAAGTGGAGCAAGGACCAAAACCAAACAAACACAAACAACAAAAACGATTCCCTTTCCTCTCCTGATCTCAACTAGGAAGAAAGTGAGCAAAGTTAACAGGTAAAGAAGTACGTGAAATTCTTCCTAGTTCAACTTTCAGAGCTGCTGGTTCATCTCTGGGAAGGTCAAGAGCAGTTCACAAGGATGACCTGAGGTTTATAGAGAAGAGATGTTTTTTAAGTAATAGATGGCTACAAGGGAGTGTGGAGGGAGAGGCAAACAAATTATTGGAAACGCCAAATAAAATATATATCAAAAATTCCAACTGTCAGCTAGCAGGTCTGGAGCAGAACACAAGCCCCCTCCGCCTTTGTCCCAGCGATGCTGAGCTCAAGGCTGATTCTGCAGAGCCGCAAAACTCTGAATAACAATTTGTAAATACTTTGGGACGCTTGGAGAAAAGAGCTAGACTGCAAAAATTTACTGTTACTTTCAGAACCCAAAGAATAGTGAAAACATAGAGAGAGACCTAGTGACAGAGGTGGAGTCCAAAGAGAGAGGAAGAATAAAATTCTTTCATCCTTTTTACGTGCTCAGCTCAGTGACAAGAAAACTTCTTTCAAATAATACTTTAAAATGTCGATTTAGTTTTATTGTAAAACCCTTGGCATCTCACACATCTAGCTTCCGATTTTAAAACTGCACTTTCCTTTTTCCTGAAGGAATTTTTAAAAAATCAAAGTAATAATTAATATCTTTCTTCCAAACCAACAAACAGAACCTCCACAAATAAAAATTAACCTTATAGAGTTAAAAAAAAATCTGCTTAATCCAAAATGCTCCAATTCAAAACATTAACTGAAGTTACAAATAAGATTACGGTTGGATTTATTTGCTCCTCTAGCAACCATCAATTATTCTAACTGTTGTAAGAAGACAAAAAGAATTTAAACCCAGTTATTTTAATACACAGATTAACACTGTGGACCTCACGGTTCGGAGGAATTTGGAGTTATCTGTGCTAAGGACACAAGTTTCTAGGGGGAGAGAAATGATGAAACAGGCACACAGGTTCCTTAAGGAAGGTGGCAAATTCATCTAAAATAGAGCCTAGAATCATAAACGCTCATTTCAAATTAAATACATTCCATAGAGTCAGTGCCCTTTAAATTAAGTAGTCATGGAGGAATTCAATTATTATTTTTAAATCTTAAATTGTTACCTATAATAGCATTCCATGTAGTGACAAAAAAGAAAAGGAAAAATAGAGAAGCAGCAGTTCTCAGAAGTCGTGAAGATTCTTCAATAAGAAAGGTGATTAAAAACAGACGCTTAAATTTGAGAGGCCCGATTTCCCCTCCCATTCACCCCCACCCGGTCAGATCCCCTCCCTTTCACCTCTTGTTTGATGCTGTGTCCCCACCCCCACTCCAGAGCCAAGCAGCCGATTTGGGATTCTTAAGAAAAAGGTTTCAGCATCCATATTTGTTCTGGGGCACTTGTAAAATGCGATTTGTAGAAGGTCTTTAGCTTTCTGATTGTCTTTGAATTGTTTTTACTGAAACAGATCTTTTGCAGTTAATGAGTCCCCACGCAGCTGGACAGCTCCTCTCGGACACTGAGAACTCTAACCCCAAAATGACCCCAATTTGACACCGCAAGATGAAATTTTACCGCCTGTTAAAACCATTTCCAGCCTAGGCAAAGGGAGCTGACTGTTGACGGAGGTGTGTGCCGCCTCCTGCGACCCCCATCTCGCGCCTGTCTTCCGGGCCTGCCCCACCTACTTTTTCTTCACCCCAAATATAGGAGAGCAGATACCGAAGTTTGGGTGGGGTGTGGCGGCTGAGAATGGAGCACCAAGCAACGTACTATCCAGCCTAGAAATAAGAAAGTGCATACCGCTCTGCTCTCGAGTCGCTTTGGGGAGGGCGTGGGGGAGAGCTCTTAAGTTCTTAAATGTTTTCCAACTCCATTAATAAAACATCAGCAAGTTGGTGATTAAAAGTAATAGTCCTTTGAATTCATCACACTGACCAAGAACAGGCACCCTAAGTCACCTCCAGCTTAATCTTGTGTGTAATCCACTGCCCTGAGATGCTATTTTAAACTAAGTTTCATAAATGACCTGCAACTAGGAGAGTGAAATGGCTTTAGTTGCATAAAGTTCAGGGTTCTTCCCTTAGACAATTGGTGAATTTTTAAATGACAGATTTTTCTCCAGTAGGGTTTCACTTTCAACATTCTCCCAATTCTTAACTGAAGTCTTTGGAGGTGGATTTTTTTCTTTGACAGCATCTTAAAATGTCCTATTTCTCTCTCCCTCTTATATCAACCAGACTGATCCTGTTGTTTGCTTTAAAGTATTCAATAAAATGCAAAAGAAACTACAGAGTATTTTAAGGTAGAAAAGAGTTCAGGTTAAAATGCCTTCTGCATCACCCAAAGAATGAAAATACAAGAAAACAGATTTTTTAACTTTTTTCTTTTGTAAAACCCAAGATTATCACGAAATAATCAACCCACTAATAGCTAAACGACTGTCTGAAAATACAAAATCATCAGTAGGTCTTGTTTTTACTCAGATGCAGTGCCAAAGAAGAAACTTTTTAAAAAAAAATACAGTTAAGTTTTTCTAAATAAAGGCTGTAGGAACGCTAACTCACTTGACAGCATCACTATGGAAAAAAACTGGTAGTAAAAGAAGCAGAAGGTAGCAACGCTGAATTTTTAAACTCTGCAATAGAGATTCGGTTTGAAGTGGATCTTTACAAAAGGAATATTCATCAAGGAAACTGAGTTTCTTTCAAAAAAGAACAGTAACTTGCACTTACTATACAGTACATTTAAAACAATCCTGTCGACAGTAAGTAGCAATATTAAAAACAAGAACAATTGGCACTGAAAAATGGCATAAACTTCTTGACTAGCGCCGCTTCACAGGGAACTTGGGTCCGCTAATGTAAAACCTCTGCAAGGTCGAAAATGCTCTACAGCAAGACCCGATTGTTTGGGGTTCCCCACCCCACCCCCATCTCTCTCCTTCTCCTTCCTCTCTCTCGCGTTCTTCTCACCCCGGCTAACGTGAATTCGCCTAACAGCAACTTGAAATAATATCCTGGAAGTCAATTTTTTGGCATCTTCTCTTTTTTTTTTTTTTTTACTCACCTTTTCTTATATACCGACGAGCAACTCAGCAATAAGGATGCTTTCAATCTTGGAGTTCTTCTAGGAAAAAAAGAAATGAAGTGAAGGGGAAAGGACTCTTCCCCACAACCTGCAGGTTTCATACCCGTCGGCTCTTCCAGGCTTGAAGCCCGGCTTATGAGTGGCTGAAAACCAGGGCTTACCCTCTCCTCCCCTAAGCTCCGCGCCCCCGGCTGTGCCTGTTCGGGCCACCACGTAGTGTACCTCGCGGTCCGCAGCCCGGCTCCCTAGCATCACACTACTCTTGCTTCTGCCAGCCCTCCGCCCTTTCTTTATATGTGAGGGCCGATTTCCCGTAGACATCATTGTTATGATGGCTCATTTAATCAAACTGTTTAATTGCTCTGGTAATCACTATCATCATCACAGGTGCTCAATCATTCATCATTTTTGGAGGGCTTTATTGACCTCCGGAGCTTATTCCCCAAGCCCTATTAAAACGGGGCCAAATTTCTCCGACTCAGCTTGGAGTCTCTGCAGGCTGCGATCTAAGCCCAACTGAGTCTTGCCCGAAAGCTTACAGTGAAGAAGAGAAGATGGAAATCCCTCCACCCCAAAAGCCCATCCGCTCTCCGCTCTCCTCCCTCTCTCTCTCTCTCTCTCTCTCTCTCTCTCTCTCTCTCTCTCTCTCTCTCTCTCTCATGCACACTCACACACTTTATTCTCCCCGTATACGCAACCCCCAAGAAGCCGGGTCAAAGTCGCGCGGGAAGGATATACTACTTTCTACTCTCCAAAATGGGTTCAAAGTTGGCGAGAAAGACGGCTGTTGAGGAACAGCCTGTTTTCGATTCTCTGGGCCTGGGACCATGAACCAGGGTGAGGGCGAGGAGTTGCGGACAGCGCGCGTTTGGAGCGCAGCGCCAGGCTGCAGGGCTGTGGGGAGCCGGGGGGCTGCCGGGGTAGCCGCGCTCCACGCGCTGGGCGACCGTAGCCCCGCCCCCCCAGCTCTGAACTCGGAATGATTGACGCGCTGCCTCTGGGAAACCCGCGGCGCAGAGGTGAGGCTGGGTGCAGCCTCGGCCAGGGACTGGGTGATACACCGGCCAGAACTACTTTCTACACAAACGCTGTGAGATAGTTACCATCCTCCCTGTCCTTTTTGGAAAAGTTCACTGAGAGTCGGCCCCACCTTCCTTCCCGATCCCAAGAAATCGCCTGGTATAATTAACACAGCCATTAGCCGGCTTTCCTTCGCCCTGGCCTCTGCGTCCAGGATGACCACAACAAAGCTGGTCAGGGAGTGCCGGCCAGGCCTCCTCACCCAGCACCTCCTCTCTACCTCTTTCTTTCTCCCGGTCTTTCCCTCCCGAGCTTCCCAGCTCTAGGTGAGATCCACTTAGGAGGCGCACACCAGTCGTCCGCGCGCGCGCGCGCGCGCGCACACACACACACCTTTGGTGACATCAGACATCAAACACCCAAAGGCATCCCCACTTCCTCCCTCCCGATTCCGCCGCGGCCCCCAGAGACTCTCCAGGGTGGCCCTTGTCTGCACCGCTTGGAGGAGAGTGCTGAGTCAAGCTGGTCTCTTCTTGTCCTGGAAAAAAAAAAATGAATGTTGACAACAAGGGTCCTGGATTTGCAGAGGGAAGTAAGTACCACTTAAAAAAAAAGAAAAGAAAAAAAAAACTCTAGCCCGGCGGTGGTACGGTCTGCAGAGCCCGTGGTCCTGGATGTTAGCTGAAAGCCTTCGGGACGCGCTAATCTGCTGGGAGAGTAGGGGCCCACAGAATTAAAAGGAACAAAAGCAAGAGCTCCGTGTCAAACGTCCCCGACACGACCCCGTTAGGCATGAGCCCGGTGTGATGGGAGAATGAACTACAAGTAAGTTTCAAAAAATTTTTAAAAGATCTGAGGCTGTACCGTACTTTCCCTGTGGTTTTCTGCAGTTTTCCTCTCTGCGCTCTCCCTGTCCTCTTCATTCTCCCTTTCCTCGCTCGCGCGCGCGCGCGCGCGCGCACGCACACACACACACACACACACACACACTCTCTCTCTCTCTCTCTCTCTCTCTCCCCTCTTCCTCCACTCCCGCCCCACACCCCCTCTCCGCCGCCGTCCCCGCGGAGAAGCAGGCTCGCTGATTTGCTCGGGTCTTCTCGGCTCCTGTCTCCCCTCCCCCGCGGCCCCCGCCTCCCCCGCCCCCCAGCCGGGGCCGTCCTTTCGCACTCGCTGCATATCAGAGGCTCTGCGCGGCGCGCTCCTCCTCGCTCCCGCTCCCCACTCCCGGGATGTGTCTCCGCCGTACGACGGGCTATGGCCACCACGACTTCCGGGTTCCGTCATTTCGTTCTCCCGCCGCCGACCCGCGCCGCCAAACTGAGGCTCTTCTATAAGCCAGGCAGCAGCCAACCTGCCAACACCTACTGACACTCACTCATCTCCCCGAGAGAGAAAGAGAGCGCGAGCGAGCGGGCGCGAGCGAGCGGGCGCGAATGAGAGCGAGCGAGCGAGCGAGAAAGAGAGAGAGGGAGAGACAAAATACCTACCAGGAAAGGGGGGGAGGAAGTCCAATTTTTGCAAACTATTCATTTTTTTCTTGATTTCCCCCCACCCGCTTTCTTTGAACGATACTTTAAAGAGAGAGGATCATATTATAGATACCGCGGGGGCAAAACTAAAAGGGGGGGAGGGGGGAGGAAAAATTCAAGAAGCAGAAACCCCTCGCGGAGTTTTACTGGAAGAAAAAAAACGGGTCTGAAAGATTCCTCCTCTTCATCATCATCAACCATCATTCATTCACTACCTTGACATTCCGGGCTTTGATTGACAGCTGGAGTGGCAAAAAGCCATGAAACACGACAGTTCGGTTACATGTGGGCTGCTGACGGGCCGCTCGTAACCTTCAGTTCGGGGGCTTGACAATTTTTGTCTTCTTTTTCTTCTTCTTTTTCTTTTTTTTTTTTTTTCCAATTGAGGGGAAGAGAAGAGAAAGAGGGGGAAAGGAGGACCGAAGAGGAGGAGGAGGGGAGGGGGGAGGAGGAGGAGGTGGAGGAGGAGGAGGAAGATCAGGAGGAGAGGAAGAAGAGGAAAAAAGAGAAAAAGAAGAAATATCACAGAAAAAAAAATTCTTCGTTGTCTTGCCTGGGCTTTTTTTCCCCCCCTAAAAATAACATATTGGAGAATTGGGAGAAGTCTCCTTGGTTTGGAAAAAAAAAGGAATCTTCAGCCTAGATCACTTTCTTATCCGGACGGGGATATTAAATATACGACACATCCAGGAGTTTATTGGAGCGCAGACTGATGGCGCAAAGGGTAGGTTTAAATCTCCAACACTTACCTAGATATAAATCCTCGCCTAAGAAGGGCCTGTCCCGATGCCTCCTCTCCCTTCAGCGCTGCTGCTGCTGCTGCTGCTGCTCGCTGCTTGATGATGGCGGCCAGTATTTAAAAAAATAGCAGCAAAATTATTCACCGGCTTTTCCCCCCCGTGCCTCTGCGTGTGTGCGAGTGTGTGTGCGTGCGTGTGTGCGTGTCTGGGAGCGCGTGTTCTAGCGCTGTGCGAGCGGGCGGGCGGCGAGTGCGTGTGAGTGGTGTGTGTGCGTGTGCAACTGTTACACGCTTTCGCCTCGCTCCGGCTTTTACCCCAGCAGCGCGAGTCCCCCGGCTCTCCTGCTGCCGCCGCTCGCTGCGCCGCTGCCGCCGCTGCTCCCGCGGCTCGGGGCGGGCACGGGCTGCGTAGGAGCCGCCGCCGCCGCCGGGGCCGCCGCTGGGGCCGCGCTGCCGCAGCCGCTGCGCCGCCGCCTAGACTAGCCTGGGCTGCTTGTTTTGTCTCTGAAATTGACAAGGACGCAGGGAATCCGCTGCTAAATAATGTTTCTGGTAACTTTCACGTTATTCCCCCCACCCCCCACCCTCCGCTCCCTGCCCCCGGGGAGGCACTGGCCCCAGTCTTCCCTCGTCCTCGGCGTTTTCGTCCTGATTATTAGCGTTTTTCTTCTCTTTATTTTGTTTCATTTCGCCTTTTGATTTATTGGATCCTCCGTAGGAGGCGAAGGGGGGCTGGGGTGGGATTCGGGGCTTCCTCCTCACACTCACTCCACTTCTCCCTCGGTTGGCTCGGTGCGGTCCTGCTGCCTCCGGCCGAGCGGGACCTCCCGGCGCCCCCTTGGTCCCCGGCCTCACCGCCCCCTCTACCTTCTCTAAACGCCGATCTTGGTTCATACTTTTCCATTTTAAAATTTAAAATCATTATCCCCCACAACTTTCAACCCCGTTGTTTCGGCTGGTTTGGTTTCTGTGTGTTCAACTCGTGCTCGGTACTTTTCTGTGTTCTGACTTCGGTTGTGTTTTTATTTCCCTCTCCCTGTCCGCCGCACCCCTCTTGTCTCCGTCTCTCTCTCTCCTGCCTCCCCCACCCCCTTTCTTCCCTCGGTCTTTCTCCCCCTCTCTCCCATCTCTGTTCCTTTCCCACTTCTCTGCTTGCTCCCTTCTCCCTGCGTCTTTCCCTGTTCCCCCTCGGCTCTCCTCGCTCTCTCACCTCCTGCTCCCGCCTCCCCTTTGCCGGGTTCCGACAGTACGATGAGCTGCCCCACTACGGCGGGATGGACGGAGTAGGTGTGCCTGCTTCCATGTACGGAGACCCTCACGCGCCGCGGCCGATTCCCCCGGTTCACCACCTGAACCACGGGCCGCCGCTCCACGCCACGCAGCACTACGGCGCACACGCCCCGCACCCCAATGTCATGCCGGCCAGCATGGGATCCGCTGTCAACGACGCCTTGAAGCGGGACAAGGACGCGATCTATGGGTAAACCAACCCCCCACCCCTCCCATCCCAGCATACCGTGTGTGTGTGTGTGTGTGTGTGTGTGTGTGTGTGTGTGTGTGTGTGTGTATGTGTGTGTTTTGAGGGACTGGACGAGTTATTTCTCGGGGTGGTGGGGGTCAGAGGGAACCACTTGCCTTAGGAAGGGACAGTGAAGGGGGTCTGATCTGCCCCTTAAGTGTAAGTCCCAGGAAGATGCGTCTTCCTCCACCCCCCTGGCCCCGTCACTCCGGACCCCACAGCCTGGAGTGACTTGAATACTCAGGATCTTGCCAGGGCCTTCTCCCCAAGGACGGTATTCCTGGCCAAAGGACGCAGAGCTGGTCCTTCCAGGCCCCCTAACACAGGCCTGAACGAAGTAGAAAGTTTCCTGGCGATGAGGAGCAACTTTGTTTTTTGTGGGTTTTTTGTTTTGTTTTGTTTCTCTTCTGTTTCCTACCGAGAGCCTGGGAGTCACTAAGTGCAGCTTGAGCTGGGATCAGGGCTGCTTCTGTCGGCCAGGAAGTCCTAATCACCCACTTCTTAATTCTCTGTAAATAAAGGGGGCAGACCTTGAAGTGCAGCGGGGTGGAAGGGACTGCTGCTGCATAGAGCCGCTCTTAGGGGGAGTAAAGGAGATAGCTGGAGATTACGTATTTACATTCTGAGAGAACCCGAAGGAGGGGTGGGGTGCACGGTCCAAACGTGTACCTTTGGGGTTCTCCCAGCTGAGGGTAGGTGGGAAAGGCGGCAAGATGCCGAGGAGAGGAGACCGTCGGTAAATAGCAACTGAGCCTGAAGCCAGAGGCCGCAAGCATCCCGAAGTGTAGCTAAACCGCCTGGAGGAACACAAAGGGCAGACGCCCACGCACACTTCCAAGTTTTAACACTCGATTTATTTATTTTTGCCTGCCGGAGAAATGTCTTTGGAAGGAAGCTCTCCAGCATTTAACATTCCTATTATCTTGGCCCCCAAACCGGGGCTTTATTAGAAGTAGAGCAAACAAGTTTATAAGGCAAGAAAGTGGAGAGGTTAGGAGAGCACTCTGATTTGGATTTAGGAAACCTCACTTCGGGTGTTTTTGTAGGTGAAGCCCTCGGCCTTTTCCGAAATGCCTATTAAAATGCGGAGTTAAAGTAATTTTTTATTTCAGTGTTCCTTTCCTGTGAGGTCAGGGTTGGGTGTGGAGGGTTGGTTCGGCAGCCTCTGTCTGTAGTGTAGGGAGTGGGTCTGGATCAACTTTGGACTCCAGAGTGCCTGAGTTTCTCGGATGTTTCATTACTTCCACAGGAGGCTCTTTTTTACCTAGATAGCTTAAGAGGCCAGGGGCTTCTCCGGCCAGATCTGAGGGACTCCTGAGCCGAGGGAAAAGGGCCAGGCCGTTTTTCCTTTCTGTTTCTGGCCCAGGCTCGGCTGGCTGAGGAAGGGTTGTAAAGTGTGATGCGTGCCTGTTGTATTAAGGAATCCGAACCCTCCAAACTTGTTGATTACAGTTCTTGCTCCTTCCCCTCTGCACCCCGTCTCCGTGTGTGTGTCTCTGCGTGGCGCTGCCCGTTAGGCACCCGTTGTTTCCTCTGTTAGCTCTGGTCTTTGAGAAGTGCGAGCTGGCGACCTGCACTCCCCGAGAACCCGGAGTGGCCGGCGGAGACGTCTGCTCCTCCGACTCCTTCAACGAGGACATCGCGGTCTTCGCCAAGCAGGTCCAACCTTCTTGACCCACTCACCCTCCTGCAGCCTCTCACTCACTCTCCTCCCCTTTCCTCGGAGCTTTACTTGAAAGAGGAGGAAAAGGCAGGGACACCCGATCTGTTCCTCCGGCCCAGTCCTCGCTCTACGCCTCCTCCCCATCCCTGAGCCTGGAGGCAATTGGAAGTGGAGATAAATATGGGTGTTTGTTTTCCCCCCCAGCCAGGAATACGGGGGCTCGACCCTCGAATTAAAGTTGACCTGCCCCTAATCTGGGGCTTGGCCTTTTCCCCGGCCTGCAGCTACTTGAACAAGAATTAGGGATAGGGGCTGTGAGGGACCCGAGAGTGCCCGGGAGGGAAGGAAGCTGGGCGCCCCTCCACGCGGGCGGTCAGCGCCAGAGCAGAGGTGAAGGAGGCTGAGAGCCGGAGCCCCTGGGACGGCAGGGTGAGGGGGGCCTCAGTGCCCACAACGGCCCTGGACTCCCGGCTACAGGTTAGCAGTTCCAGGTACTCCTTAATGGGAGAACCAGAGGCCCTGATTCTTTTCCAGCCAACCCCACCAATTGAAGGTACTGGTTTGTTTCAGGTATTTTACCAAAGCGCCTCTCCTCTTCGCCACCACTGCCCCTCCACCATACCCACGCACACACGGCAGTTTAGTTGGTGACAGGGTTTTTCTTTGAAATGCTGTAATAATTCATGCTAACTTTCCCTGCTTCTTATAGGTTCGCGCCGAAAAGCCACTTTTTTCCTCAAATCCAGAGCTGGACAATTTGGTAAGGCTCACAGTTTCTTGCCTTTCCCCAGCGTGGGTCCCCCCTCCCTCTCCCAGAAGCACCCACTTTATCCCGGAGAGCCGGGGTGTTAGAGCAGAGCCCTCTTTTGAAGCTCAGGAGCGACTGGGAGGAAGGGAGAAACTTAGGGTCCCCCAAGGGAGATGGGAGAAAGGGGCGGGATGGACGTCAAGAGAAGAGGAGCCCAGGCACGCAGCCGGCGGGGCCGCGGCGCCGGGAGTGCGAGCCGAGCTCGAGTCTCAGGTCTCGGCCCCGGGAGTGAGGCTGCGAGCAGCGAGCTATTTCCTCTGTTTGCAGGGCAGGAGGCCGAGCCCCCCGGCTGCTAACCCGAAGGAAGTAACCGCGGGCGCGGCCAAAGGCGGGCCGGGGAGGTTGGGGGGTGAGGGGCCGGACAGCGCAGGCCACTTTTAGGTGCGATTCTTTTGCTAATTTTCACGATTTCAATATTAAAAGTACTTAAATCCCCTTTCAAAGGCCCTGCCTCGCCATTCATCTTGAGTATTTCCTTCTTCAGTGAGGACGGATTTCGCAGGGTGTGCGGTTCTAAAAGCTTTCTCTCTCCGGAGAAGCGACTTTTTTTTTAAATTTGGCCTGAGGTCGAGGGGAGGGGATGGTTAAAGAGGGCTCTGGTGGAGAAAGAAGGCCTGGCCCAGGAAAGCAGTCCTTACAAACAGCTCAATGGAAGTGTGCGGCAAAGATATTAAATAAAGGCTTCGGCTCAGATTGAGACAGATTCCAACCCCGTGGCCAATGAGGCAAAGATGATCAGTAATCACTTGGTTTTTCTGACGATTTCTTGTTATGTGGGTTTTGCCTGGCCACTTGTCTGTTTCTTCTCCCTAACCCAGTTTCCTCAGCACCCTCTACTTGGGACCTCCGAGTCTCAAAGCCTTAACTCCACACTCCAAACTTTTCTTTCAGATGATACAAGCAATACAAGTACTAAGGTTTCATCTTCTGGAGTTAGAAAAGGTAAGTAGGAAATAATACTCCCCACTTTGATGCAGCCACTTCCCTCTCCTGGTTGAGCTGGGGTATTTTTAACAAACCTCCAGTCTGAGGGATTGAGCACCTGGAAGTTGGAGCAATGTGTTATCCTGTTTTTCCTTCAAATTGCTCCTTAACCCAGGAGCTCAGAGGATGGGTGAATTAGGACAACCCTGCCTTTTAAAGTAGTTCTCCCGCCTTTTCCCCAGGCATTCAGGCTTATTTTTAAATGAAGCAAACCATTTGTGTTACTGGACATTCAGCCTGCTTGCGTCTCTATTAGCTCAGCTCACCCTCAGCCCAGAGCGTGCATTAGGTGCAAACAGAGGGAATCATCCTCGCTGGGGTGTCTTTACATTGCTTTGCAGCTCAAGCACTTTTCCCTAGAAACATACAAAACCCCTAGCTTATTGAATCACAAAAATGCTAATGGCTGTTCCCAATTCCAGTGTTCTAACATTTTGATGTTATCATTAAATCGGATTTTCCTCCCTGAACTCCAATCTGAACCCAGTTATTTCCAATCCTGTTTCTTCTGTATTTATTGTAACTTGTTCAGGGAAGTCTCTGGAGAATAATATCTACTGCAACAATTGCTCTATTGTTTCCTCGCCTTCAACTATTACACCCATTAATTAGAGTTAGTTTGGAAGACATTGCACTGTTGCTCTTTCCAAATGTAACCCTGCAACCTGATATTTTTTTCCTTTAAAAATGAAACAAAACAAATAACAATAACAACAGTTTGAGCTGAAACTTCCAACATGACCCTCCTTCTAGGTCCACGAACTGTGTGATAACTTCTGCCACCGGTACATTAGCTGTTTGAAGGGGAAAATGCCCATCGACCTCGTCATTGATGAAAGAGATGGAAGCTCCAAGTCAGACCACGAAGAACTTTCAGGCTCCTCCACGAATCTCGCTGACCATGTGAGTCTGTGAGCCTTTGGTGTTCCTTTAAGACTACGGGGCATTTTTTAAAAATTAAAAAACAAAACTTGTAACATTCAGCTCCAGTGACTTAGTTTTCTTTCTAAATGATTTGGTCTCAATAGGGGTCTTTCTCTCCCTTTCTCACTACCTCTGCCATCCCCTTCGTCTCTGTTTCCCCTTTTCTTGGTCCCCTTCCTTATTTACGTTGAGAACTAAAAAGGCTGGGGAATCAATAGAGTGATTTGTGCTCTTCATGTGTAAAGTTTCCTGGATTTGGTGACTTGAGTGTTAGCAAATTGTCTGTTTGATATAGTGACCGCTGGCTGTCTTTTTTTACTTTCTCAACTCTGTATTTGTGCAGCAGAGATAGAAAGAGGCAAGACCACTAGTGGACTGCATGGAGAAGAGAGAGGACTGAAGGAAAAGAGAGAATTGTGGAGGGAGGGCTGATTTCCCAGAGATGACAATCCTGAGAATTATTGGCAGTCATGCATTGCATTAGAAATAAAAGGAGTGAACACATAACAATTCTCAGGGCTTTTGCTCTATAGAAACTTATTGTCAGTATATGGACTTATTGCCAAGTGGCTGAGCATCTTCATAATAAAAGACAGTAACCCTGATGAAATAATTAACAATGTATTACCAAAAGCTGAAGGGAATTGTGATTGAGTAACTCAAGGTTAGTGGTTGAATTTTAACACTTAAACAGTTCCTGAGGACAGAGAGTATAGTAGGGAGTGACTGTGTATGTCAGGCCAGGAAGGGAGATTTCTTTCTATTCTCTCTGTTTTTAATCCTATTTTGGAACTGATTAGGTGAGTCTGATGCTTAAAAAGAAAAAAAAAGCATATGTAGTGAGACAGAAAATTTGAAAAAGAAGCAAAGAGAAGATTGCAGCTGCTAGGAGAGGCAAGTGTGCCGAAGTTAAAGAGTAGGTGTGAACAGCAGTTTATTTATAGGAACTCAAGCCTGAAAGTGGGGGGACAGGGTGTCCATAGATTACATTCAACTGAAGCCACAACCTAAGTGATAGAGATTGTAGTCTAATATCTTAGTGGGTGAAATGTTAATTTAACACTCTGTGGAGTTAACAGGCATTCGGACTTGAAGGTACCCCTACCCTCCCATTCTGGGATGTTAAGAGAAGTGAGTCAAAGATGCTTTGAGAATAAATGTTCTATGAGGTTCTCCCCTCCTTTAAAGTTTTGAAAAATCTATAGTCATAGATTTTAATTATTAGCCTTTGTGCTGTGTGGAAAGCCAGCTTAAGAACAAAAGTTAAAAAAAAAAAAAGGAAAAGAAAAGAAACCCTCAGTCCTGAATATCCAGTGTTGTCCAGTTCAGAGACAGAATAAATACTGTGGCATTGAAAGCTCCTGTGCTTGTCTTTCCTCTTGGCTTTTCCTATCATGATGAGGGAAATTTTGGGGAGCTCTCCTGCATATTAAGTGTAGTAACTGCAAGCACAAGGGTGCAGCCAGCAGCTCTGGGAAGTTCATTTGCTGGCGTGCTGCTGTGTGATGTGCGGTTCTGTTCCACAAGGCATCATGCTGCCTTAGAAATATTTGCTGTTGTTGTCATTTATTTGTTTATTTTCATTGCTTCCTGTTTCTAAATTCATGTGCATTGTGCACTATTGGGGGAATGGAAAGGAATCTACTTACAAGGTTTATAGAATGAGGTTCACAGTTGACTGCAGCCAACAGCTTTTTTTATGACATATCTGGGGGGCTCAACTACTTGGTTTTCTGCAAGAGTTTCTTGGCAACTGTTTTTCCAGTGACTGTATGGAGTAGAGCATGCTGATATTTACAGAGAAGACATAAGATAAACTAGGCTGTTTAGTGTATTAGCTGATAGGCAATGCCAATTTATGGAACTATTGTACTATTTAAATTACACTCAGAAGGAAGTTGTATCTAAGAGGATAGTGCTTTAATAATTTAACAGTCTTCATCTTCTGATAAAAGAGTCAACTTAGCATTTGTTGTTACTCTTGCGAGCCCCCAGTCAAGTAAATATGACAACTGATTTATTTTGAACCCATGAGGGCTTGCCACCTCATTGGGCATCATAATTTAAAGCCTTTTATTTCCTGGAGATCTGAACTATAACATTTTTACTTTAGCCCCCTGCTATTTGTTTTGAAGGGAAGCAATAATTTGTTCCACCAGCACACCAAGTGGGAAATGGCAAGGTTTGCCACAGACTTCAATGTTGTGTAGGAGGTGAGAGAAAACCTTGGAGAGTTTTCACTATTTTTGACACTTTTGTACCATAGCTATATTAATTATATTCATTTCCAGGCATCCCCTAGAAAGTAAATCCTCTTATGCTTCAGCCTCTTCTGCAAGCATACCCTCTCTCAACCCCTCAGCCACTAAAAAGTGAAAATACCACAGAACCACTACCTGAAAAGTGGTAGAGTGAAACATTGTCAGCATGTAAATGTGTGCCATTTGAATCTCCAGGTTTATTTTTTCATTGGCTTTGATATGCATATTTAATACATTGCCCCAGGCTGGATCTCATTTGGTGCACGCTGGTGCAGGGGTGATGATGAGCCACTTCAGAAGGACTGAGACAGTGTGTTGTTTTCTCTGTTTTATCTGTTGGCCCACTATTCTGATCTAGTGTGCTTCCTCATGGTTTTATTTGCACATGAAATGCTGAGAGCATTTCAACTTATTGGCTATGAATAATGACAGCTAAAAAAGAAGTAGTTTAATTTGTTGTGTGCCAAGGTTTTTCTTGTGGAGGTGACAGTTTGTGACAGCTGTTTGACACCCCCAAAACACATACACCTCTATCCTTATTAAGTGGTATCAAGCTACATTGTGTGTGTGTGTGTGTGTGTGTGTGTGTGTGTGTGTTTAAGGAAGGAGCAGGCAAGGAGAGAGAGTGAAAGAGAAAAAAGAAAGAGTAAGTGTAATCTGTGTAGTGGAAAGCAGAGAGAGGCATCAGGAGTAAAATATTAGGTACCAAACCCTTATTCTTCAATTTTCTTATTAAAAATTTTGAAAATAGAAATGAAAAAAAATAATGATATGAATATCTCCAAAGCCAGTGTTTGGGACAGACTTCTAAGAATGAATTTTTTATACTATTACATAGTAAATTGGGCTGTTGTCATGCTGATTTCACATTCCATAATTTCATGTAAAGAACCTGCTGTAACATAGATGCATTAAAAGAAGACTACCATGATGCCTTGCCTTCCATACTGAATTTGTTAATTTATTATTGACACTTACATGATGGACATGATGATGAAAGGAAGTTTGAAATTAAATTGACAAAAAATTTGCAATACTGGCTATGATTTTGTTGTGTTTAGTAAGTCAATAATGAATGCTTTTATATTTTTAATGTATTTTATCTTATACTCTTATTATAAGAGTAATTGTTATAGGTAGGAAACAACTATTATAGCATTCTTTGGAATATGAGGGAGAAAAATATGATGGTGAAAGGAAATAGAACTCTGTTTTCCAGCTGCAGTTCATGTTAAGTTTCCCAGACATTCAAATTTATTATATTGAAAAATAAACATGTCAAGAAACCATTTCTTTAAAAAAAGTTTCAGCTTGAAAACTGTTGTGGAATAATCATGCTTTTCCTAGTTGGCAGTATTTCTGAATTATAGGTGATATCCACATTTTCTACTTTACATAATTTTAGATCCAAGTCTTTAGATCTAGTGCAAATGAAATATATCTTTATACCTACATATAAAGATATTATATATTTTTAGATCAAGTTTAGGTAAATGAAATAAATTTGTTTGAAATATATTCCCTGAGCTAAGCTCTATTTGCCTGAAGTGCATTCAGTTATATTATTATTCCTAAGTAATGTTCATAAACAGCTACATTTTATTAATTTTTTGATGAATTAATTATTGAGAAGAAAATACAGTTATATCTATACAAAATACAATTGACAGGTACCTTAAAATTGATTGGCTCTGATAACATGACTAATAAGAGAAAAATGATTGTTGTGTTGAAAGCTATTATTTAAATGAAGATATGCTGTTTTCTTTTGCATCTTTGAATGTCAAGTTTATTTATCCCTATGCAGTTTATAAAAATATGTGTTAAGTCAGAGGAGGGACTCCCCAGACAGAATATGGGCAAGTGTTTAGAGATAAATTCTATTACAAACTAAAAAGTTAACAGTGAACAGGCAGTGAGGAGGGGGACGGGTTTACGTGATTGATCCATAAAATATCAAGGGGGAAATAATGGGATTTGATAATAATATAAATAACACAAATGATTTATTTTATCAGATAGCTTCTTATGTTCTAGTGTAAGATTAGACCTTACAGTGTATTATCCAAGACCCCCAGGGATCTATGTCATGAAAATTCTACCTCTGTGATCTGTCTACCAACTCAAGCAGACGTGGTTGGTGGTATGGGTTATCTGTTGTTATTGTTGTGTAGTTTCTGGTGGCTGATAGCTCTTCTGTCAAGTTCCCTTCAAGAGTAGTTATATTATTGAAATCATTTAGGTTGTGCAGTTGGAGTACATTTTCAGTGTAACTGTGAGGAGATGAAATTAAACAAAGATGCACTTGACAACCACATTTACTGTCACATTAAAATTTTGATATTTTAAGAATTCATTTTCCTATTTCCTCTTCAGACTGAATGTCCTGTGGAATATTCCAACACAATTCAAAATTGTAGGAGACATTTTATAATGTGACAGTATACCAACAATACAAGAAATATCTATCTTCTCTAAATGTTGCCCCATTAAATGGGGGAATCATTTGAAAAGAGTACTTGCTTCTTTGGTGAGTTGCTCACATATTAATTCCCAAGGCTTAATAGAGGGTGGAACAGGGAGATGAGGGAAAGACTTCAGCTCTATTTACATTTTTAAAGAGTGAGTCCTTGTTCTGAAGGCACACACAGTTCTCCTGTGTTCTTATGTCAACTTTAGAATAACAAAGTTGAAACTTCAACTTTTATTCAAGCCATACAATTAATATTTTTAACTTTTGTAGACTTGAATACTCATGATAGGAGTTTTCATCTTATTTTTTAAAATATTTTTTGGCATATTGTTAACTATGAGTTAAAACACCATAAAGTCATAGGAAATATGTAACATATTAATTGTGTATACTGATACGAGCTTATCTTGCCTTTGTTGTTTAAACACAGCAAGTCAGATCGTTTTGCATGTTCTATTTGCTGCTTAAAATATCTTTATAGAAGTTTACTATTACTTTCTACCTATAAGCACATATTCTAAATTACTGTATTTTCTAAGTTCATATATAATTTTTGGCTTGATGTTATATGTCATGTTTTAATTTTGTAAGTTCTAGAAAAGCAAATGCTTAAAATATTTCTGAAGTGGAAATGACCTTAGGTATTATCTTTGACTAACTTCTTAATTTCAAAGAGATAAAGGAAATAAGTTCCAGGGAAATTAAGTGTGTCACTTGCTTAAGGTCACATGATCAGTTAGAGGTGGCACCCTAGAATCTTAGTTCAATCTAATGTTCTTGTCTCTCCTATGCCACATCCATTGAGTCAACTTTTCATTTGGGTGTATAATGATTTTCAGATTATTTTAGATGGAACTTGTGTGTAGTGTGGCTTTTCTTTTTTTTCTCCTTGAAGCCTACTATATTTTACTTTCCCACTCAGTTTTGTATTTATTTGGAAACACACATTTTGCTCCATTGTCTTTTTGCAATGGAAGAACCCTGAGCTGTGTGGAATCATTTAAACAGGGAAATACCACCAACTTATCAGGACTTTATTAAATATTATCCTATAGGCAGGTCTCCCACAGAAATGCCATAATGGTGTAAAGTGTTACAATTTCCACCCATATCTGCAACCTCAACAAAAGAAGCACACATATATTTGCTTCCTATGCCCAGAGACTCCTGTCCTCTACGCTCTTTCCTAGGTTTAGCAAAATTCAATGATGGTGCTAAATCATTTTTTTTTAACTTTCAAGGGAGAAAACACTGGCAGAATTGTGTTTTCTAGGGAAAGCTGTGTGTAAATGAGAAACAGAGGAGAGCAGCAGAGTGATCTCCTGTGGCCCCTTTCTACAAGCTCTCCCCATCTTGTCTCCTGCTTTTATATTAATTACAACTTGCATTATCAGCTGTGAGTCTGTAGCCCAGCAAATAGAAATACTGCCCCAGGAGACCTAGCTTCTTGTATCTATTTTCCATATCCTTCTATTGTGCTCCACTCAGTATTCACTGCTTTTCTCCTACTAACACTGCTCTTTAACGCAATTACGTAAGAGCAGGAAGAGTACCATATTTGACTCCCAATTATGAAAGCTACTGGGAATACAGACATGTTCACTCCTTGCCCTCGGGTGTCTTCGTGATACTTTTGGCTGAAGAACAGGGCATATATTGTGGAATGCACATACTGGAGTACTCACCCACACGTATGCACAGGGAGAACACTTCTCTTTATTTTTCTACATACGCCATGCATTTTACATGCTTTCATATGCCACTTTGGTTTCAGGATTCACTAAACTTGTGCATATAATTTGGCAGACAGCCAGGCAGTTATTCTTGAAAGATATAAACTTGGAAACTAACTAGGGAGGGAAAAAAGGAAGAAGAAAGAAGTTGTGATACAAACAAATATTTCAGACTAAGGGAAAAACAGTTATGGGTAAAAGGTTCTATTGTATCTATCTGTGTAGATTACAAGTTTTTATGACCAAGGAGGCAGCATTTTTTTATTGACCAGATTATCAGTATTTGCCTTTGTTTATGATCTAGTCACCATGGTGTAGCTGAATACAGACAACTTTGGGGTAACTCCTCGACCCTGAAGCCTCAGAGGGAGTCGTCTGTTTTTACTACTTTCAAGCTAGATGACTGTCATGGAACTACTTAGTCTGTGTCATTCTCTCAAACTGGATCAGAATACTAGACACTAGGAAATAAACATCTTATAACACTTTCATCAGAGAGTGTTTTTGAGGGTGTGAGGGAGAAAAGAGGGAAGAGATGGAGGCATGATGGACTAGATAGTGAACTGCAGCTAATTTCAGGACTGGGCTGAAAACTGAAGACCCAACTCATCTGGAAGAACCAACTGCTTTTAAAGTAATATTTGCTTATGTGGCTTATTTTTCACTCCTTTACTTTAGAAAACACATCCTCCATAGAAAACCACTGGAAGAAATAAGCTGAATTATAAATTAATGAGACCTGAATTTAAAAACTCAGTACAGGTTTGCCTGATAGGGACAAACCAGTCTTTTCAGTTGCAGGAAAGCCTTCTGAGCAATCCCTTCAAATCATTGTAGTGCCCAAACAGAAAGACTCACTCCAGCTTCATTTGAAAGATTATATAATAGCTATTGGATGACATTTGCCTTAAAGCATAGTTGAGGTGTTAGTGGTTAATTATTGTAATTTTCATGGGGGGTAAGGAGCTTTTATAGCAGCCTGCTTAATAAAAAGCCTGCAGTGCATAAAATTAACATCACTTGCTGTGTACATCGAAAAGTTTAGTCTAGGTGAATGTGTCTCAGTTACTGCACTTTCTGAAAGAAGGCTGTAGCCACTGTGGTTGCAGGACCACACTCATGTCATTCAATTGTTTCTTTCTTTTTTTCCCATGTAATTCTTCTCGTTCTTTATCTGATTACCATCCGGCAAACAGCTGACTCGAAGAGGCTGCAAAGCTTGAAGAGCCCCTGTATTTTGTTTGCCTTTGCTTGAAACTCTTGGAGTGGTTTCTAACCTAGATAAAATGGGAGATCACAGGCGTGACTTTGTCTGAATACAGGCAGCCGAGAACCTTGCTTTTCATTTTTATTCTACTCCACTTCATTCCTAATGAACTTTTCAAAAACATATCTTTACTTAGAGATCTATACCTGTGCTTAATTTAGAGTCACAAACTTCTGTTTAGAATTTTCACTTTGAATCAATTGTTTGCCTGATGGCAGTGCCAGTAGCATAATATGATATAGATGTTATTAATCTATGAAGCATTGGGTCATTTCCTCATCTATGAAAAGTGCTAAATATTAATTTATAATCAATTTGTAGCAGATCTGTAGAGGAAAAAAAATGTTTTTGTTGCTGGTCCAAATAAGAAATGCCCTCTGTTTTGTCCCACCTTGGTTTCTTGATTTTATGTTGGTAAACTCTCATGTTCTCTTTGGACGTTAGAGAGTTGATATTAAGGAAAATGATAGACTAATTTTTTTTTTCCAGGTAAACTGTATGATTTCAACACGCAAGATTGCTTTCAGCTGGTCAAGATATTTGCATGTTGCCTGTAGGCATGTCAGTCTGTCTGAGTCCTTATTTACTAATTCTCACAAAAAGAAATAGTGTCCTTTGAGAGACTGATGTTGTTTTTTGGATATTGCCCCCAAAGAACCTCTCCCCGAGAGAATTCACTTGCTAAGTAGAGCTGTGGGCTTAGTTGAAGTCTTCACATACAGGTGACAAGTGTACAGCTCTGGCCTTAAGGCTGATTTGTTTCATGTGCTGTTCCTACTCTCCGCTTCTGCCAGAGGAAATTCCATCTCTTGCCTGCCTTCATGTGGTGCTGATAAAGTCCTTCCTGTACATTAGAATTCCTGTTTTCCTTTAAGCAACAGCAGGGTATTGGGAATGATCAGGAAAGGGGAGGAGGAACAGCAGAAGAATACACCCAGCAAAGCAGCTTGAGTGTAACTCCCTGTTTGCCCTCCATGTCCTTTGAAACAAGAAGCTCTTCCAGGAAAAAGGACTGTTCAGTGAATTGCAGGCTTCCACAGAGCTTCTCAAACACGAAACTCCTGTCCACTTATTCGATGGTTAACAGTTCATAGTTGTTTTATTTTGTTGGTGGTGTTTGTGCAAATTAAAGCAGAACTGGTCATTTATTAGGCATCAACGCAGTCATAAATATCACCATATCTGCTGGTTGCATAACTGGTTGATGATAATTTTGAGATTTCATTCAGGTTGTTTTAGGGCAGTACATTTGAAAAATGTGGAGGGCTGGCTCATGCATTCTTTAGTCTGTGTTGTTTTTTATTAAAGGAGTCATTGAGTTTTATAGATGTTAATGTTCTGAAGTGTTTGCTATCTAAGAGCATTGGGCCTATTTCTTGGGAGAGTGTGTCCTAATTAAGATAGCAAGCATGAAAATGACTTGAGGGTTTTTAAGTAAGCTTTTTTCTAACTTTAAAAATTCACTTTATTGAGATATAATTTTTGTCTAATAAAATGCACCCAATTTAAGTATTGTTCAATTAGCCCTTAAAGATGTTTACACTGATGTAATCATCACCTCATCAAGATTCTAGAGCATCCTTTCTTCTTTTTTGGTACCTATTGCTGAAAAGACCAACATACTGTAGTGTGGCATCTATCTAGGCCTAGTTCCACAAATACTAACATGCACCCATTTTTCTTTTTGTCTTTTTCTGCACCTTTCCTCTTGGTTCATACATGGCTGAAATGGTACCTGTGGAAAAATTCCTTGGTATCCTGACATCAGAATCCTACATCTTGGCGAGATCATGACGACGCAACCTCCACTCACTCAGCAGGCACCCCAGGGCCCTCCAGTGGTGGCCATGCTTCCCAGAGTGGGGACAACAGCAGTGAGCAAGGTAAAAGGTCAAGCATTTCCTAATGCAAAGTAGGCATGACTAAAATAACTTCAGTATTTTATGATATCAGTACATTTGCCTCCCTGGGAACAGGAGAGTGGCAGGCTAGGTAGTATAATCAGCTGCTATTTAGGGAGACAGTATTTCCTCTTCTTAACCTACATTACTTAAAAAAAAAAATCAAAGTGAGATGTGTAATCTTTAAGTAGGCATTACAATAACAATTGATTCGTTCTGCCAATTCTTTTACAAATTTGGTTATCTACACTTTTGCGTGTTTAAGTAAAAAGAATGACAGCCTTACTTTGCTGCTAAGATGCCGGTAGTTTGAATTATACTGAAAGAGGATATTTTGTTTCAAATAATTGTAAGAGTTCTCTATAATCAAGCAGAGATGCCTCTAAAGTACATAAGAAGCAAGAATCTGTTTTTATTAGCTCCACAGTACTGTGTGAAATTTATGTGGAATCTTGGGAAGATGGATTTTGAAATTCTTAGATTATTTGTCCCCTTTTCCATTCAGCTGACATGGTGACTTTTATGACAAATCCTAAAAATTAGAGTAATTAGAGGGCAACAACTGCAGATGACAAGGAAGCCTAGTGTAATTTCAAATAAATTTTACCCTTTAAAACTTACCTACTGCATAGAGAGCAATTATATATTGGTAGGGATGGCTCTTCTATGGCTAAAATGATAATTTAAAGGAAGATACATTATTGAATGTGGGCCAGGAACGTGTATAGATTTTACTTTTTAATATTTTACATTAGATAGTGTCAGATCTCCCAGGTCTATTTCATCTCTATTATGACTATGTTTATGGCCACAATATTTAAGCATTAGACAGTCTTCCAAGTAGAGAACAGTTTAACAGCTTGAGGCATCGTCATATATGCCATTTAAAGAGAGTGGTTCATGCAAGGTGAGTGCCTTCACTCTTCCAAGTTTCTGGCCACAGATTTTAGATTATTAGTATTCCAGAAGAGTCTAGAAAGATGTCCCTTCTAGGATACCATTAACTTGTAAATGGGTCCCAATTAGAATCTAGGTTTAAGCAAGTTGCAGCTGAAGCAGAAATAACGACTGTCAGATGGTAAATTGTGGAAGAACTTGCGAACTATATCTACTTAGGCTTTATATAGTGTTTTATTAGACCAGTTAGATTATATATGAGAAAACTAAACTATAAGGCATTTTGAAGCTGACATGTGCATAAATTTAATGGTTCTTTAATGCAGAGGCTTAATTCTGGTTCCATGTTGTGGTGATGGACTTCTAAGTGTGGTTAAATCTGGGAGGCTCTCTCTGACTCCACCCTCCCTACCACTCATTGCTGGGACATAAAGGGTAAAATGTATCTATTAATAAGAGCAAAACACCCTAAACATTGTAAAGAAAGAGGGGGAAAGGAGAAACAGACTTAATGGCCTAATGAGGCTATCTTCCAAAGACTTGTGTGTGAGGCTCGCTTTGACCTTTCGCTTTGCTCAGGAGCCCAGCGCTTCATTTTTCACATTCTTGCAATTACGTTAACGCTTCAAGCATTTCTGACTCCAAGTCAGCTAGCAACACCAGGCATAACTCAACACTGTGAGTTTTTCTCCTCTCTGTAGATTCATTAACAGGTCACCAAGGTCCCAACTGAAATTTAAAACTGACTGGTTCTGTTGGGTTGGTTGAGTTATGGCAAGGGAGATAGCAGGAAAGGCTCAGAGGAGGGTGGGGGTGGAGAGGAGACCCCACTGTCTGGAGCAGGCAATAGTTGTAGCAGCGGGCAAGGCATGGCAGTTTCATCATTTGGGTTAGTTTTGTCTTGTTGTTTTTGTTTCTGGTCAGGAAGGAGAAAAGCTCTGAGACTGATTCACTGGGTAAAAACAATACGTACAAACCTCTCTGTGTAGGTAGCAGCACCCACTTATCCCATGTTGAAGGATTTGATCCCTATAGGATTTTGTTCCTTTAATCATATCTCTGTGGGATTAAACAATGGACACGGTAGCTTATGTGTATAAGTAGTAGGAAGTCAGTCATTTTACTGTATGGAAGTGTGAGAGACAAAAATAAAAAATAGAGAATGCTTTGGCATGGAGAATTTCCTACCTGGCTTACCACCTCAGTGGTTCCAAATCACGTATTTAAGGGTATTCTGTTTGTGACAGCCGACTCTAAATTTTGAAGGCCAGACTCTATAGCGTATTTTGTCATACTAATGCCCATATTAGTCTTTTAAGCATGTTTTCAAGATATTTTGATATTTTGTCCCACCGAATTGTCCAGAGTAGCTTTCTGTAGGAAAGATTAATTACCTGCTTCAGGGCAAAGTCAACAGAGATATTGACTGAAATCACATATGCTTATCCTAGGTTATATCTTGGGGTTGGTGTATAATGGAAAACCTAGGAGGTAAATTTATGTTCTTAGTATTAAATATATTATAATGTTTCATTGGAAACCAAGTTTGTAGTTTAGAAAAGAGTTTTCTTGCTCATTCAGAATTTATTAGCACAACAGGCATATGGAAAACTGTAAAACGACTCAGTTTCAAAACAAATCATGATAAACAGAAAAAATAGGGATGAATTGTACTAAATACAATGTTTTCATACACATTTTAAATTAAATTTTAATAGCCATATGCTATAAAACAATACATGCATTTATGTTGCTTTATAATTTTTGTGAATACTTTTACTAAAATGATTCATACAAATCTTTACTTTGGAACCTAAAAATACCTCATTTTATGACTTGATAGTGAAAGAGCTACAGTTACACAGGTGAAAGGTCATCTTTTCCTCCTTCGTGTTTGTGCAACAAACCGAAAGGAGAAAAAAAAATTCCATTTAAAAAATATCGTAAGAAACAAACTTGGTAAAATGTAAAACCTTACTTCACTGTATCTTTCAAACAGCACATGCTAGCAGTAAATTATATAAATATGAACCAGACTTTCATTCACTCTGATTTCGTTGGCTAAAAGCAGCCAGAGGGAGGGAGTTTGTCTTGTTAGTCACATTAGAATGAAGAAAGAAATCTGGTTTTTCAGGGCTGGAATTAGGGTACAGACTAGGGGCTCTGGGGAAGTAGCTAGCCCTCTTTGTGTTTGGCTTCCCATCAGTAAGATGGGTTTCATAATAAGGCTTGAGGTCCCTATTTCTGTACCTGCTGAGTCAAAAGCTGCTTTGTATTTCATTGTGTATTTTGCCAGAGTAAAGACTAGGAGGCAGCCCCCTTGTTCATAGAGCACTTTGAGAGCCTTAGATGAAAGGCACAATATATGTACAAAGTATTATTATTATTGATGGGTTTGTGTAACTCCCATTAACGCTGATGGGAGTTACCCATGTGAATTGGCAAGAGAATAGACCCCTCAGTGTTTAGAGCACATGAAATTTACATTTTTTCCAGTGCTGTAATTGAGATGTTGACAAATTGGAGAATATTGATGAGCCTTTGTTTTAAGTATTTCGTGCCAAGTTTGTTTTATTTTTCCTGGTTTGAACAATGGTATGGGTTCAGCAGCAATGAATAAAAAGGGTAGAGTAAAGATAACTTTGTATTTCAATATTTTGATGTGCCAATATGAAATAAATTGTCTTAGGCAAATAGAATATGCTGTTTTAATCATTAGCTATGCATGAAAGAAAAATTGATGTTGACATCTTTGCTGTAAAATCGTTGTAATGGGGCCTTCCTTACAATTCATTTTTTTAAAATTCATTTTGTACATTTTGCAGCAATTGAACAATCCCTGCACTGTGAATAGGCAGGATTCCCAGAAATACCGAGACAGTTGGCCCAGTAACTGCTGAGCTCACACTGCACACCACACGCACGTTAACCATACTGTTGCCAGACCCAGTGTAACCTAAATACATTAGCATTCTAGCATCTATATGTCCCTAATCTTTCAGGACACACAGAGCTAGCTGTACAAGCCAGCACAGTTCCCCTCAATTTTACCACCTACTAAACCCCTCCATTGATGTCTCCATCTTTCACCCAGGCAATGAGACTAGAATTCCATAGCTAGGTATTTATTTATTTTATTATACAGTTCTTTAACAGTCATAGTGTTGAAATCTAAAAATACCCCGTTTATAATGAATGTAAGTGTTTATATGTAAGGAAGTGTCTAAAATAGTATTACACTTTCGGGTTTATAATGCATGCTATAGTTCCAAAATAGTATTCTCCCCCACCAGAAAATTATGGTTATGTATTTAAAGGAGGGGGAGAAAACCTCAAATCCACTTACAGTGGGTCCTGAATATGTTCTACTGGGATTTCTTATTCAGTCGAGGAAAACTCTGTCAATGGAATGTTTTCATTGTGGCGGCAATCTCTTTAAAATAACCCTAAATACAATATGACAGATGCCATCTGGCATAATCTTTTGCTAGTTGCTTTTAACTTTAATTTTTCCTAGAGCTAAGTTCATCCCAAACTGGTCACTTACTGTTATGATAAATAAGTGACATTTCATTTCCCTCCTGTTTTCCTAATTGTATCAGAAAATTCTCTGAGAATGTAATTGATGATTGAACATTGCCACAGAAGAAGCTGTTGTATATAGGATAGTTATGTTGCGTTTTCATTTTCTCCCCCATTCTCCAAATAAAGTAAAAAAGAATACCATCCTTTAACCATCAGCAAACATCCAAATAATTTGTTGATTTTCTTAGGACTTTTAAAAATAGTAACCATTAGAAATAAAATTAAGCTCTTCTAATAAATAAATGCCTTAGGAGCATGTAATGGTGCTCATAAATGCTTAAAAGCTGTCTATAATTGCCGTTAATTTTGAGTAATTTCTTCCTGTATGTATCAACTTACTTGAAAAACCTGGAGTTGGGATTTCTAGGGTTTTTTTTTTTTAACTTAGTCATGTAAAGGGATGTCTCCTGATGCCAGTTAGAGTTTAATTTAGAGTAGTAATTAAACTTGAATACTGCCTCATAAACAAAAGATAAACAATAAACCAGCCTCGTTCCCTG